CCATATGATAATAACTTAAATAAAAAAAATCAAAAATACATGATAGATGCGTGGTTTAAAAAATATTTTTATGATGATGACATTAATTGGTTTATGCATGAGAGCAGTGGGAATTGAACCTATGTCCTTGGAGACTAAACATGGAGTCTTAGACCACTTGGCTAAACTGATATTCTTTGTTTGTAGCCATTTTAGAAAAACTATCTATTTTAATATAAAAATGTGGGACCCACAATCTGCCTATGTGGACACCTTAAGGAGCTTTTAAACTGAATCATTATAATATAGAAGCTATATTATAATATGATAGTTTTAAGGTTCTTTAAGCCATCCGCGTAGGCAACCACGTGAGACTTGTTTTTTTGTTTTTTGTTTTATTATTCGTTTTCGATTCATTTTTAACTATTTTGGGTTTGAACTTATTAAGGTTTAGGGTTTATATAACTATTTTGATCTTTAAAACAATAAGCCCAAAAAAACATAAGAACCTTATAAACAAAAAGCCCATATGATAATAACTTAAATAAAAAAAATCAAAAATACATGATAGATGCGTGGTTTAAAAAATATTTTTATGATGATGACATTAATTGGTTTATGCATGAGAGCAGTGGGAATTGAACCTATGTCCTTGGAGACTAAACATGGAGTCTTAGACCACTTGGCTAAACNCCATATGATAATAACTTAAATAAAAAAAATCAAAAATACATGATAGATGCGTGGTTTAAAAAATATTTTTATGATGATGACATTAATTGGTTTATGCATGAGAGCAGTGGGAATTGAACCTATGTCCTTGGAGACTAAACATGGAGTCTTAGACCACTTGGCTAAACTGATATTCTTTGTTTGTAGCCATTTTAGAAAACTATCTATTTTAATATAAAAATGTGGGACCCACAATCTGCCTATGTGGACACCTTAAGGAGCTTTTAAACTGAATCATTATAATATAGATTATAATATAGATTACTAGATGATATCCGCGCGGAGTAAATTTTTTTATATTAATGTTTATTCGGTTTTAAAGTTAAATATTTTGGGTAAGTAAACCAAAATATTATTGGTGATTTTGGAAACTTGTAATCATATATAAATGAAAAACATAATGAAATAAAAGACACGTATTTTAAAACAAAAATATCTAATTATTTTTTTTTAAAAAAATTGAGCCTATAGTTTTTAGTGGAACGACATATTTTAAGAGATTTCAGAAATTACATGGAGTCAATACGTTGTATTAATATTCTAAACTCAAATTTAAAATATTCTAAATATTAAGGATAAAATCTTAGATGCTAAAGTGTAGATTTTTAAAAAGGAAAAAAAAAATAATATTGTAAAAATAAAAATTAGAATAAAATTTGAAATGTTAATTTACTACCAAAAAAATTAGAGTGAGTTAAAAAAGAAAAAAAATCAGAGAATTTTAAACCATAATATCCCAAAAAATCTTATGGTGGTCAAATTATTAAAATAATATCATAGATGCAACTAGATATAAACTTTAATAAAATAATATGGCTATTAGTTAAAAATGCTAATATATTTGTTTATTAAATCCATTATATACTAAAATGATATATGCTAAAGTCAATTCTGAACACAACATGGAAAATTAAATTATCTTAAACAAATATTATTTCTATAGTATAGCAAAATAAATTCTAAAATGTAAGTTGTATATTTTTTTTTTTTAAAAAAAAATATATATATATATTGTAAAAGAGATTTTCTATTTGATTATTTCAAATTATAAGTTTGTTGTACTGTACTCAAAAATATATAAGTATGTATAAAATGCATAAAACAAATCATTATATGTTAACAATGGTGAGTAACAAAATAAAAAAATATTAAAATTTATCATATATTAATTAATAATGTTGAAAAAAAATCTAAAAATTAAAATTGTAAATTTACACAATATGTGACACTAAAATGTAAATAATATATTTAAAATATCCACAAGAATATCAAATGTCTAGTTATAAAATAAAGAGTATATCCACACAAATGTGAGGGTCGAATTCTAGTTTGATTTAAAACTGTGTATTATAGGTGATTCAAT